GGGATTGCTCTCCAGAGCTTTTGTTCCCTGCAAGCTTTCCGTACAGCTTTGGAGGCCGAGAGTGAAAATGGCGGCCTCCCAATCTCCACCCCGAAGGAGCCAAGAACTCAGGGCCCCGCTCCTCAGTGTGCCCCCGGAGAAAAGCAGTCAGTCACTCCCATCTCCCCAGTCTCCGGCCACACTCCATGCTCACCTGGCCTGTGACCGAGCATTTCTATCTCTGACACCCGACTCAGTGTGGAGTCTCCACCCCAGCAGATCCCTGCAGTGCGTTCCCATGCCACTCCTCCCGGGGGAGGAAGGTGAGTCTCCCCGGATCTGCCGCTTGTTGGGTCCCTGCAGGAGGAGCAGTGGCCCGACTGTGCCGCGGATCACGGTTTATGGCAACCCCGAGCTGAGAGCCCACGCCTCGGCTCCGTCTCTGCAGTCGGCTTCCCCGCTCCAATATCTGGGAGCTCTGCCGCCCTCAGGCACCCCCGGTCTTTCTGTGACCCTGAGGGTCCTGAGACCACACTGTCCCGCGAGGGTTCCACCCCCACTTAGCCACCGGAGTGACATCCCTCAGTGGAGCCAACTTCTAAAAGTTCCGATTTTGTGCTCCGCAGCTCTATCACTTGCCAGAAGCGGTCCACGGAGGCCCCTCCCCCGCTGTCTATCTTCCCAAATATCGCCTTGGATTCACTTCTCCGCATGTCCTACCTTCCAGAAAGTGGTCGCTTTTCTGTTCATAGAGTTGCTGGTATTCTTTTCTTCGATCTATTGAGTTTGTAGATGTTCAGAATGGTTTAATCCCTATCCAGCTGAATTCCTGGGACCAGCTCCTCTGCCATCTCACTCCTCCCGCCTATACCACAGTATTGTTAACACTAGTCAGTGTTGCCAGGTGTTAAGATAGCACTATAAGGCCTTGTTCCCCATCCTCATTTCCTCCTTTGTGCTTTTCACAACATAAACTTCTTGGAAGTGCTTGCATGGACCTTGCTGTTTCTTGTCTCTCTGCTTTACTCATGAGTCCCCTTTTACCTGTCTCTCTATTCTCCCAACCTTCAGAAGGCTAACTGACAGCCATCCCTTAAGAAGCAGCTCAGGTGTCTCCTTTTTCATAAAGGCTTTCATATTTTCTTTTTTTCTCAAGGTGTACCTCTCGTTGATGATTGCATAATGCTCTGTGCACTTCTTTCCCATTGCATTTACCACTTTGTACAATTATTGTTTCTCTCTGTTATGCCAGTCAGTTATCAGCTCCAGCAGACTGGGAATTGCTTGATCTTTTCATTACTAATGCATGCTAGTACTGATACATGGTTGGGCCCAAATATGGAGTGAATCTATTACATATAATGATGATTACTAGCTTGTCTTGGGATTCTCTAATTTATTCCAATTCTTTTGCTGTTTAGTATTATCAGACAGAGTGGTGTATACTCCAGAAAACCTCTACAAGGAACTGTTCTCAAAACATAAAGGACTCAGAGACTTAATAAATAAGGAAATACGCCCTTTCTCTCAAGGAATACTGATTTTTTCTCGAAGCTGGGCTGTGGACTTGGGTCTGTCAGAGAAGCAGGGAGTAATCTGTGATGCTCTTCTGCTTTCCCAGAACAACATCCCACTCCTCTACACCATCCTCAGTGAGTGTGATGCAAGCTGGAAGAGCTATTCTATGACAGTCGCCCGTACCTTAAAGCAGAAGCTGGTGAACACAGGTGGCTACACTGGGAAATTGTGCATCACTCCCTTGGTCTTCCTGCTGAATCCTGATAGAACAGCAGAGACTCTTCATTGTTCAGATTTGCAAATTTACCCCGAGTCCTATAACCTTACAACCACCCAGGACATAGAAGCTCTGTTACAGTCCCTTGTGATAGTCTTGCTTGGGTTCCGATCTTTCTTAAGTGAAGAACTGGGCTCTGAGGTTTTGAACATACTCACAGATAAACAGTATGAGTTGCTGTCAAAGAACATTCGTATGACCAGAGAACTGTTTGTTCATGGCTTACCTGGATCAGGGAAGACCATCCTGGCTCTTAGGATAATGGAGAAGATCAGGAATGTGTTTCACTGTCAACCAAGTGACATTCTTTACATCTGTGAAAATCAGCCCCTGAGGAAGTTTGTGAGGTATGCAGCCTAACTATATCCATTTTCATTTTTTGGAGTAACTTTGACTGGTTTGGCTTTAAGTTCACATGCTAAAATTCATATTGTATTTACTATGTCCAGAAGAGTTTAGGAGTAGAATTGATGGGTGCCTGGGTGGCTCAGTGGGTTAAGCCTCCGACTCTTGATTTAGGCTCAGGTCATGATCTCAGGGTTGTGAGATCGAGCCCTACATCAGCTTCTGCACTGGATGTGGAGACTGCTTAAGATTATCACTCTCTCTCTGCCCGTTACCCCTCTTTAAAAAAAGGGGGGGGGGGTAGAATTGGCTTCCTTTGTTTGAGTGGGGAAACCTGACTATGTTTCTTACATTTTCAGCAAGAAAAACATCTGCCAGGCAGTGACCCGGAAAACCTTCATGAAAAATGACTTTCAAAAGATTCAGCACATCATCATTGATGAAGCTCAGAATTTCCGCACTGAAGATGGAGACTGGTATGAGAAGGCAAAAAACATCACTCAGAGAGAAAATGATGGCCCAGGAATTCTCTGGATCTTCCTGGACTACTTTCAGACCAGCCACTTGAGCCACAATGGCCTCCCTGCTCTCGAAGCCCAGTATCCAAGAGAAGAGCTCACCAGAGTGGTCCGCAATGCAGATCCAATAGCCAACTACCTACAAGAAGTAATGCAGGAGGTCAAAGAAAATCCTCCACCTAACATCCCCTTGGGGTCCCTGGAGATGGTTCATAAAGCTAAATGGGCTCAGGGTATTCCAGGCAACTTTGAGATTATGGAGTACTTGGACTTGGAAGAGATGGTTGTCCAAGTAGCAGAGAAATGTCAGTTTCTCTTTAGGAATGGTTATTCTCCCAAGGACATTGCTGTGCTTTTCAGCAAAGCAAGTGAAGTGGAAAAATATAAAGATAAGCTCCTAAGAGCAATGAGGAAAAGAAAAATATCTCAGCTCAATGAGGAATCTGACCTGTTAGTACAGATCAAGGATGCATCAGATATCATGGCCAATCACATTGTGTTGGATAGTGTCCGACGATTTTCAGGCCTGGAAAGAAATATCGTGTTTGGGTTCAACCCAACAGTGGCTGAGCCAGCTGTTTTCCACAATCTTCTGCTCTGTCTGGCTTCCAGGGCGAAGAAACATCTCTATATTCTGAAGGTTTCCATTTGACAGGAAGATCCCAGTCTAAGAAACAATTAGGAAGCTCTCATCTCTAGTTAACCATGAAACCATGTGACCTAAACATTTAATCATCAAATATTTAATGAGCACTCACTCTGAGGTATATATTCTTCTCGGTGCTGGGGGCGGGGGATGAGTTAGTGATAGGGTAGCGAATAAGATAGACAAGATTCCTTCTTTGGGGCAGAGGTAAATCATAGACAAGTACACAAATACAAGTACAAGAATTTCAGATAGTTACATCAGAGTAGTAATTGGAGGTGCCTGAGATGCAGAGAGTATGTGTGTGTGTGTGTTTACACATACATAGGTAAGTAGATAGAGGGGGAAACTGGTTATTCAGCATGCTTGGGGAAGTGCTTAGTGAGGGAAGACATCATGAGAAGATCTTTGAGCCATGTGTGCCAGGTGGACTCAGATATTTTCATTATTTTTTTTTACATTTTCACTATTTTTAATACAGCAGTGCACAGAAATGCTTGAGTAAGATGCACTGGGAGGGTATGAAGGGCAGAGAGGGGTCATGTGTCTGCCCTTTTATGGGCCAGAAATGGTTGTACAATATTTCAAAATGTAAGATCAGAAGGTACAAACTGTTAATTTCTTATAAACCATATTACATGATTCTTTTCCATTTTATTCTTTTAATGGTGTTAGTAATTTTGATCACTGTCTTTTAAAATATGTTATGCATGTCTTTTGGTTATTTAGAATCTCACCTCTTTAGGTCTGCTTTAGTATTAGTCCTATGGAGAATCTTAGGTCACTGCATGAAGGTAAGATTCCCACAATTCCCCAGGGAGACACATTGTGTTTTATTTATTAATTTTTTTTTAAAGGGTCCCTAAGAAGATGAATGTACTGGACTCAAAAGTTACATTTTGCTTTTCATTTAACTTAATAACCAATGAAATAAAGTAATTCCAACATCTTTGTTCTGCCGAGCCTTTAGGATTTTAGCTAGTTTCTCAAAGGCTATTGCTATAGAAGAATTTGGGAAGTCCATAAATTTAATAAAACAAGAGTTGAAAGACAAAATGATAAAGCAGCCAAAAGAGATGAAGAGGGATCTTGCTAAGGAAACATTGTGGGGGCGCCTGGGTGGCTCAGTCAGTTAGGCATCAGCCTTCAGCTCAGGTCATGATCAAGTCCTGCATTGGGCTCCCTGCTCAGCGGGGAGTCTGCTTCTCCCTCCGCCCCTCCCCCTGCTCCTTCTCTCTCTCACTCACACTCTCTTTCAAATAAATAAAATCTTTTTTTTAAGATTTTATTTATTTATTTGACAGAGAGACAGCGAGAGAGGGAACACAAGCAGGGGGAGTGGGAGAGGGAGAAGCAGGCTTCCCGCTGAGCAGGGAGCCCAATGTGGGGCTCGATCCCAGGACCCTGGGATCATGACCTGAGCCGAAGGCAGATGCTTAACGACTGAGCCACCCAGGCACCCCTCAAATAAATAAAATCTTAAAAAAGAAAAGAAACAGATTGTGAAACATTACAGAAGAAAAATAAATTAGAAGCAACAAGAAATTGAAGACCCAGTTCCTGACATAAAGGAAAGCTTGAGATAGTCACGTAAATGGAGAGAGATAAGACAAATATTAATGTAGTTATAAAGAAGACATATCTGGAGTATAATGATCCACTAAGAATGGATATGGAGTAGAGAATCAATAAATGAAACAGTAAAAATGTTCTAAGATATAATATGGGAAATTTTTCCTAAAATAAGTCCTCAGTTTGAAAGAATTCTTAACAATTGAAGCAGAAAAATCCAATTGTGTGAATGATCATTCTGGCTTCTGATTTCTCTGGAGCAACAAGATAAAGAATATACTGTATTTTTGTTTTCATTCAGTTGCTTTTTAATCAAATCTGACCACCTCTACCTTTTAATTGAGTGTTTAAATTAACTTTTTAAACTTTTAAAAACTTTTAAAAACGTTTTATTTTCAAATACTTAGAGATTTATAAAAAGTTGCAAAGGAAGTACAGAGTAGTACAGAAGAACCCCCTGTATCCTTCACCTACTTTCTATACTATTTTAAATGTGATTATTGTTATGTTTGGGTTTTAATCTACCCTACTGCTATTTTTTTTTCCATTTTATCATCTATTCTTTGTTCCCTTTTCTCTTTTTCTGCATCCTTTTGACTTAATTTTGCATTTTTATTTTTTTAATTTAATTTTAATTCCAGTGTAGTTAACACGCAGTGTTTCATTAGTTGCAGGTGTACAATATAGTGATTCAACACTTCCATACATCACCTGGTGCTCATCACAACAGGTGCACTCCTTAATCCCCATCACCTATTTCACCCATCCCCCTACCCACCGCCTCTCTGATAACCATCAGTTCTCTATAGTTAAGTCTGTTTCTTGCTTTGGCTCTTTCTTTCTCTTTTTTCCTTTGCTCATTTGTTTTATTTCTTAAATTCCACATATATGAGTGAAATCATTTGTTTTTCTCTGACTGACTTATTTTGCTTAGTATTATGCTATCTAGCTCCGTCCATGTTTTTGCAAATGGCAAGATTTCATTCTCCCCCTCCTCCTCCTCCCCCTCCCTCTCCCCTTCTTCCTCCTCCTCCTTCTTCTTCTTTATGGCTGAATGGTATTCCATTATATATATGTATATATACACACACACCCCACATCTTCTTTACCCATTCATCTGTTGATGGACACTTGGGCTGCTTCCATCATTTAGCTATTGTAAATAATGCTGCTATAAACATAAGGACATATATTCTTTTGACTTAGTGTTTTTGTATTCTTTTTTTTTTTTTTTAAAGATTTTATTTATTTATTTGAGAGAGAGAGTGAGAGAGCACATGAGAGGGGAGAGGGTCAGAGGGAGAAGCAGACTCCCTGCTGAGCAGGGAGCCTGATGCGGGACTCGATCCCGGGACTCCAGGATCGTGACCTGAGCTGAAGGCAGTTGCTCAACCAACTGAGCCACCCAGGCGCCCGTGTTTTTGTATTCTTTAGGTAAATACCCATTAGTATGATTACTGGATTGTAGAGTGGTTCTATTTTTAGCTTTTTGAGGTACCCCATACTGTTTTCCACAGTGGTTGTACCAGTTTACATTCCCAACAGTGCATGAGTGTTCCTTTTTCTCCACATCCTTTTCAGCACTTGTTATCGTCTTTTAGATTTTAACCATTCTGACAGGTGTGAGGTGATATCTCATTGTGGTTTTGATTTGCATTTCCCTGATCACGAGTAATGTTGGGCATCTTTTCATGTGTCTATTGGCCAATTGGATGTCTTATTTAGAGGAATGTCTGTTCATGTCTTCTGCCCATTTTAAAATTGGATTATTTAGGGGTGCCTGGGTGGCTTAGTTGGTTAAATGTCTGCCTTCGGCTCAGGTCATGATCCTAGGGTTCTGGGATCAAGCCCCCATCCCTCAGCGGAGAGTTTGTTTCTCCCTCTCCATCTGCTGCTCCCCCTGCTTGTGTGCTCACTCTCTCTCTCTCTCTCTGTCAAATAAATACATAAAATATTTTTAAAAATTAAATTGGATTATTTGTTTTTTAGGTGTTGAATTGTATAAGTTCTTTATATATTTTGGATACTAACCCTTTATTAGTTATGTCATTTGCAAATATCTTGTCCTGTTTAGTAGGAAGGCTTTTAGTCTTGTTGATTGTTTCCTTTGCCATGCAGAAGCTTTTTATTTTGATGTAGTGCCAATAGAGTATTTTTGCTTTTATTTCTCTTGCCTCAGGAGACCTATTTAGAAAAATATTGGTATAGCTGATATCAGAGACATTACTACCTTTGCTCTTTTCTAGGATTTTTATGGTTTCAGGTCTGACATTTAGGTCTTTAATCCCATTTTGAGTTTATTTTTGTGTATGGTGGAAAAAAGTGGTCCAGTTTCATTCTTTTCCATGTAGCTGACAGTTTTCTCAACACCATGTGTCAAAGAGACTCTTTTTCCCACTGGATATTCTTTCCTGCTTAATTGTGTATTTTTAAACAATTACATCTTGTCTCCTTTATTGGCTTATTAATTATAACTCTTTGTTTTGTTATTTTAGTGGCACGTTTAGGGTTTACAGTATATATCTTTAACTCATCACAGTCTTCCTTCAAGTGATATTATACCATTTCATGAACTTTATAACACTATACTTCCATTTCTCCTTCCCAGGCTTTGTGCTTTATTGCCATACACTGTACTTCTATATATGTCATAAATACCACAACATGTTGATATTATTTTTGCTTTAAACAGCCACTTGTATTTTAAAGAGTTTTAAATAATAGGAAAAAAAATTCTTTATACTTACCATTTCTGATGGTTATCATTCCTTTGTGTGAATCTAGATTTCTATCTTGCATTATTTTCCTACTCAAAGAAATTTCTTCATTTTTTATAGTGTAGATCTGCTGATGAATTCGTTCAGATTTTGTATGTACAGAAAAAAGCATTTCACCTCTGTTTTTGAAAGATAGCTTTGTTGGGTAGAGGCCTAGGTTGATAGTTTTGTTTTTCAGTTATTTAAATATATTCCTTCATTGTCTTTTATCTTGCATAATTTCCAAAAATAAATCTGCTGTCATCCTCATCTTTATTGCTCTGTACACAATGTATCATTTTCTGACTGCTTTTAAGATTTTATTATTGGTTTAGGTAATTTAATTATAATGACCTTTGGTAATTAAAAAAATTTCTTGTGCTTGAGGTTTGTTGAGAACTCCTTGGGTCTGTGGGTTGACAGTTTTCACTAACTTTGAAAATTTTTCAGTTATTCTCTCAATTCTTTCTCTCTCTCTTTTTTACATGATTTATCTTTTATTGGGGTAAGCTTATTTTATTTAAAAAGATCCATCATCAATTATTTCTTGCAATATATTTTCTATACCCCTTCTTCTCCTCAGATACTTCAATTATATGTATATCAGGCCACTTGACTATGTTCCACAACTCACTGATGCTCTGTGCTTTAAATTTTTTCTCTGTGTTTTATATCAGCTGGTTTCTGTTGCTGTCTTCAAGTTCACTATTTTTTTCTTCTGTATACAATGTTTAATATGCCACAAATACCATTCAGTGTATTTTTCATCTTAGACATTGTTTCATCTTCTAATCCTTTTCTAGAGGCTTAATTCAGATCCTTTTTAAATATTTTTCTTGTTTCTACTTAATATGTTCAATCTTTCTTCCATTTCTTGAACATATGGAATACAGTTATAATGTCTATTTCAACCTTATAATCTATTAATTGTATTGGCTGTGTTAATTCTGAGTCAGTTCCAAATGGAATTTTTTCCTCTCTATGGTTGGTATTTTCTAGCTTCTTTGCATACATGGTAATTTTTTATTCAATGCTAGACATTGTGAGTTTTACCTTGTTGGATGCTGAATGTTTTTGTATTCTTACAAGTACTCTTGAGCTTTGTTCTGAGATATGGTTGTTACTTGGAATTAGTTTGATCTTTTTGGATCCTGTTTTTAAGTTTTGTTTTACAGGACCAGAGCAACATTTAATCTAGGGTTAACTTTTTACCCCTACTGAGGCAAAACTCTTCTGAGTACTCTCTTACCTAATGCCTTGTGAATTTTGATGTTTTTCACTCTGGTTGGTGGGAATAGGCACTGTTTCTGACCTATGTGAGCTCCAAGGATTGTTCCAATACTTTTGGGTGGGTCTTTCTTCATCCTCAAACATTTCCTCACAGACACATGCTGATAAGTACTCAGCTGAATACTCAAAGGGGATGCTTTGCAGGTTTTAGAATTTTCTCTCTGTGAAGCTCTGTCTTCGCTGGTATTCTGCCCTACAGACTCTAGTTTCCTTGGCCTCCCTAAAGTCCCAACTCTGTCTATTCACTTCACAGAGATTGCCAAACTGTACGTAAATTTCCCCCTTTCTGAACTGCAGCCTAGAAACTTTCTACAGGCAGTAAACAGGGG